TCCCCCTGGATACACATCGGGATCACTCACACACCAAAGGAAGCTGTAACTTGTATTATTTGGATGCTGAGTTTCAGACCATCAGAGTTGCTCCTTTTGTATAAGTGCATTATGTCAGAAAAGAGCAACACAACTGTCACTCATATTTAAGTTAAACCTTGTTTACCTTATTAAAGGAAATGGAAGCTACAGTAAGGCTTGTATAACTTGCACGATCTTTTATGTACACACATCCACACACGTATACTGTATGCACACCTGGGGTTAGACCAGAGGAGCTTGTGTAACTGTGTTTACATGTCTGGGGCTAGTGCTGGCCCAAGAGTCAGATGAATGTGGTTTATCCAGGGCGTCTTTCTCTCTAAGCCACCTTCCCTTCCATTCAGCACTGACCTTGGTGCTTATGAGGAGGCTGGGCTCGACCTACATCCACCCCCTTTAACTGGAACTAGAACCTCTACTAGCCCCTGCTGGGGAAAAAAGCTGACCTGACACCCTATTTGACTTCTTCAAACAGCCATTTTCTCTCTGTCTCTGGTCATATTTGCTGCACTGCAAATATAAAAGTAAGATACAGTGTGTAGGTTTTGCGGTGTGTCTAGCAGCAGAGGAAAGTGGAACAGCAGGCTTCATGACTCGTCTCTGAGACACCAACATGTCTGTGTGCACTAGGTCACCATTAGCACGCAGGGGCTCTCACCAAGCTGGTGAGAGTTTAGCAGCAGGTCAACCCTCCTCTGGTTGTTTAAAAGCACATTCTCAAACTGTGGCTGATGCAAATGAATACACATGCAAACGCATGTAATTGCTAGCATCTGGTGGGACTAATGTTCCTGTATGTGCACACTGTGTGACACTGAGGTGCTAACGCTAATGTTTCGAGAGCTATTTGTCTTATTTGTAAGAGCTTTGTGTAATCAAACTTTATGTACAAAAGTCATTTTGTGGTTTTAAAAAGGCTGAGATGTGACAAATCGCTGTAATGCACAGTGAGTGGCTTACTACAGCTATTTAAAAGGTAGCGCACTACAGCTGAAGTAGAATTGTGCAGTTCAGTAAATCTTTTTGAAGTAAAAGGTTTTAAAAGTTAACAATTAAATGTCACTCTCACTCCTACAAATATAGCTCTTCAATAGGAGCTAAACAAAGGTTGCTAAGCGACACCAAGGCACCAGTGAGTGATGATTGTGATGATTTTTGCCTGGCACATTAATATTTAAATTAGCATTCAAAGGTGTGTGTTGATTAGGCATTTCACACTGGGTTCAAACAGGAATCCAGCACTGAAACAAAGGGTGTTGCAGAACAAACTACCTGTTTTATAGATGAATGAAAGTACCAACTGTTGTCAGAGGAATTAAATGCAGTGCATGAATGACCGTCGCTTAATGAGGGGTTTGCATGAGGGCACCATGCGTGATTTGAGCTATATCATGAGCTGTCCCACCCCACACAGAGGGATTCAAAGGGACCAGTGTCATGCTACCAGGCATTAGGGCAGCTCCCAACTCGGCTAGCCGTAATTTCTCCCCTAGCCAAGAAAGGCTCATATTTTTTCTGGCTGGGTGACATGTCATACCTTCATGGGTGTTAAATTACTGTAAAAAAGCTGTGTGTACGTCTGTGTTTAAATAAGGCAGAGGGTCCCATTTAGCATTCTGAGTAAGACATGAGATAATGGCTGCCTACAGAAGTTGGGAGCTGGGGTGGACTGGTGAGGCCTGTAGATGGTGTTTAACCTCGGGAGCAGTTGTTGTATCACAGCGTGGGAGGGTTTATACCAAACATACAGCTGGCTAGCTGATAAGGGTCGCTTTGGTTCCAAAGGCCACGGGGATGCATCACCAGAAAGCAGGGACTCACAACAGAGAAGTCTTTTTTTCACTTTTTTCCCCTTTCTCTCTCCCTTTTACTGTCTGCCTCGATCATGCTCTGCAGAACTCATTGCACGATCTTAGGGAGGGGGGAGAAAGAAGAAAAGTGGGTCAGGGTGACCTATTTTTTTCCCACAGTTCACAGAGGCAGAGGGTGGCGGTGTTATCGTCAGTTAGACGAGGAGCAGGGCCTGATGGGGAGGCAGGGCCTTGTCGCGAGACGCAGCCACTCAGAACTGGGTCAGCAGCAGAGGCTACGTCTTGTAAACGGCTTGTCATACTGGGGAGAAAAGCTGCAAATGAACCATAGATTATACGCCCCAAGCTGAGCACCGAGGTCTCTCCTCACTCCCCAGCCCCACACTTCAAAAAAACACAGCAAATATAAGGCTTAGAGTAGTGCAGGAGTCTCTGAAGCTCTTCCATCTCCTATAAGTCCCTCTTCCCTTTTCAGTCTCCAGTAATAGTGTTTGATTACTGCAGTCAAACCTGACAAGCTCAAAGCCTAAGCCACACACGCTTTTAAGTGAAGGATCTTTTCACTTTTCTCTTTCTCTGACACACAGGTGCTGTTTTCTAAATATAGCTTGCTCGATTTTATTCAGGTCAGGTTATTTACTGTATCAGGTTCAACTGTGGTTTAGAAATGAGTGATACAGATGCTTATTCAGCTGCAGTGACCTCTTTGCATATCATCTGTGCCAAAACCAGACATGTCAACAGATAATTTGCTTACATGAGCCCTCAAGAGGTATTATTATTTCTGACCAAAAAAAAAGTTGTTTTTTTTTTTTTTAACTCATTGTGGTAAGCATTTTCAGGGAATCTGGGCGGTGCTGGCCTAAAATGTCTGATGTTTGCTGTTATGTTAAAAGAAGACTTATTGATAGTTACATTTTGCTTATGTTGAGTTTTGGCAAATTGCCCTCAAGCTGGGGGAAAGAAATTATACACGGTCACCATACATTTTTGATATCGATTTGATATGGGCCTGTGTCGCTCAATGTTTCATATCCTTTGTGTCTCAGACAGACAAAGTGAGATAAACACTGGGTTTGATCTCCTCCTTACAAATAATTGCTGTGGTTGTTGTGCAGAGCTAAGACTTTTAGAACTGAAAATCAGGGCTTATTCTTGCATTGGGGTGTGCTTATGGAGCTATGCAATTTTCAGGCAGTAGAGCTCACTCATATTTCACTATGTGGAACAAATCTGCCTGTAATGAATCTCCCAGGACGATGTGGTGCCTCTACAACTGATTCCGCAATTTGGCTCTTCTGCAACGGGGATCTATAGTGGGGCTTTTAATATTTCAACACACCAATCTCCCCATTATGAAAACTAGATTATTTAGATTTTTGATGGGATGGATTTCATAGCAAATAAACACAAGACTCATTTGAGTTTGTGTCTTTCCACTTACTTGTATCATTCCTGGCTAATGTTAATCATATTGGTTTTGCTCTGTTAAAAACAGCCTTATTAGCCAAGGTGTTACACCTAACAAACATAACAATATCCTGAGGTGGGGCTAAACACGGGATCGGATTAGCAGCAAGAATAGTGTGTTAGTACACACTCCCTACTCTCCTCAGCGCCACAGCTCCTGAGCCCTGCCACTGCCGGGCAGCAGACCTGTCTAATGTTATTCTTAGCTCCAGAACTCTGTGCAAAAGCCCCTTAATGCTAATTGAGGAGACTGCTCATGGCTCATGTCGCTCAACAACAGCTCCAGGGGGGGCATATACGTGTCACCATCTTCCTTTCTGTGTGTGTGTGTGTGTGTGTGTGTGTGTGCGCGCCCTTGGTATTACTCACATTATGGGGACTCAGCACACTCACACTGTGGGGACTCGACCTCTCTTGTGTGGACCAAAGGCTGCTCCCATCTTAGCATGTGATTCACTGAATTTTAGAGTGACAACATGGTTTAAGGTTAGGGTGAGGTTAGGATAGGAACTGAATGTAAGTCAATGTGAAGTCCCCACGAGGAATGTGAGTGTGTGTGTGAAGGTGTGAAATGTTGAGCAGTAAACCAGTTAGAACCAGTACAGCGCCACTCTAGCCAGCGTTGTGTGTTTGTGTGTGTTTTTGTTTTTGTTTTTTTTATTTTCATTTTGGTTATTGTAAGCCACCACAACACCTTTAGCAGATGGTTTCTAGCAGGCCTTCATATGACATGTGATAACATTACAGTTTTGAAAGGTCAGGCATGAAGAAAACCAATAGGAGGGCTGGAGCCACCTCAGAGTGTCCAAATCACCAATACAGTCCTGTGCACACACACGACTCTGCAATGTGTGTATGGCCTTTTATGAATTTTCAAACACCAAGTATTTAACAGGGCATTGTAAATATTTACTTTAGTACTTGAACTTTGGTGGCCTGACTCACAGGGAAGGTGCCACAATATTTGCATGGTGATTAAACCCTTCTTTGTGCTTTTACAGTAGACTAAGCTCAGCACTTATGCAAGAGTATAGTTTGACAAGTGCAGAGCCAGACTTTGGACTCTGGACCATGGTGTTTACTGTGGAAAATCAGAGATCATTAGGACCTAGCAGGGCATTATCAACCTGTCAAAACATTGACTCGGAGAGACCACCCCCTCTCTAAGGCGGAGAATTGATTGGCTGGTAAGCCAAGTCTCATCCTTGGAACAGAGGCTGGGGTATTTGTTTTGAAGCTACAAGTCACTGTGTGCCAGTGGCTCAGAGCAGAACAGAGCATGCAGGAAAAACAGTCTGGAATTTTCTTGTACATAAACAACAGCTCTAGAGTGGATGGCAGTCTCATCACACAGGTGTATTCTATAAATCCCCACCATCCCCTTTCCGGAAATGGCACGAGGCTTGTGCATGTAGGAGGGGGAGGTGGAGGAGGTTGTAGTTTAAAAATAAATCCATGCAGAGACATTTTGAAATTCTGTTTCTATCTCAGTCTGATAGAGAGGTTAAAGATACAGCATCTCGATAAATCTCTTCCCACCAGGGGGAACAGATAAGGAGTGGCGTAGATTGAATAAAAGGGCTGAAGAGAAAAGGGGACGATATGCGTGGAGGTAGGAGGAGAGCTGAGATGTCTATCAGGCCGCGTGAAGTTTTTTTTCTCCCCTCTGTCTTGCAGATCCAGTCCAAGGGTGCCTGCAGGCGAGGCAGCTCTTGCTCTTGCTGTGCCAGCGTTGCTGCTCAAGGTCATAAGAGCCAGCCATGTGACATGAAAGAGGAACAGGAAAGGGGAATAGGTTGAGAGGGGCATTTGGTTGGGGGGGGCAGATAACCATCAACCATGACATGCACACAAACATGGAACTGAACTGTAAGAGGAAAAGTAGCCTTTAAGTGGCTGATTCTTTCCTGTTTCTGCACCAGTGTCTGGTTCTACTGTGGATTTTGTGAAGGAAAGAGCTTTTAAAGGGCAGTAATGAGAGTGTCTTATTCTCTCTGCACAGAGCCAAGAGATGCTTGGTTAACTGCTTTGTAGTTGCCAGCCACACATACAGTCAGCGTGTGTGTGTGTGTGTGTGTGTGTGAGAGAGAGAGAAAGATGGAAGAGAGACGAGTCAGTGATAAACCTCAGGGGAGGGAGGTAGAGAAGAGGAAAAAAAGGTCTTAAAGTTATTTAAAGGGACAGCAATCCAATGGCAAATGTTCCTCATTTTGAGGGTTTGGATCAAGTGAGCTGTAGCTTAAATAAATTCCACATTCCACAAATCAGCTTTCACTGCAAAGCACATGCTACTGTACAGGCCAAATGTAGTGCATCTGTAGGTGGTTTCAAACAGAAAGTAGAGTTGGTCACAGGCCTTGTAACTGCTGCTGCTTATTGTATGTTAAATTCATTACTAATGGCAACTAAAAGGCTGCAGTGTAAATCTAAACATTTTTGATACATTTATCCACCATTTTAATTGTGTCAAGCCTGCAAATTTGTGTTATCCTGCACATTTGGTGGGTTCCTGAAGTGCTCATGTTGGCGTCAGTGTTTCCCACTCGTCAGACAAATACTCGTGGTGAGGTAGTGACACCAGGCCTTTTAAAAAGAGAACATTTTGATATGTCAGTAGGAAAAGCACAGGTAAAAATAATATGCTGCATCAGTGTCAGAGTCCTAGTGTTGTTTTTGCTGGTTCTCTGTCACACTGTCAAGTCCTATGCCTGGTGCAGATTACACTATTTAGGGGGGCGCGGGGTACAACCTAACACATTTTGGATTTTGTGAAATATTTAAAAAATTTGAGTTGGAACAATCATGTTTTTGCACAAGCAACATATACGTACTTTTCTGCTGCAACTCAACACTTGGACTTTATTTCTAGCACCTACTGTTCTTGTACAATCACAATGAAAATGACAGGAGACACGATGTTGCAACTTACCCCATGGGTGGAGTTAATTTCAACAGACAGAGGGTTAGTTGTAACACTGGCAAGAATAGTCTGATAAATAGGTGCAAACAAAATAAATTCAATATAATTCTGTGTTGTATCAAACAAGGATATTTCCCAACCATAGTGCATTTATGACAGAATGATCAACTGATAAGTACCAAACGTACATGTCAAATTATATATAAATGTAGCATGATATTTTGTTTTTTGTCCACAGGTCAGCAAAATATGGATTGTTTCCAAAGAAATAACTTCTTGTCATTGTTTACATAAGCGGGGTTAGATGTAACGCCGTGTTACAACTAACCCTGCAGTATGGAGGCTGTACTAACGCCTAGCTAGAATTTATTGTCCTAGCTGGCAAATATTTTCTCAAAGTGCAGATGAGTCTTTCTGAATTTTTGCAGGAGACCATGGCTAGCAGCTATGGTAATGTGATTGGAAGTACACACTGCTTGACCTTGTCTAACCACATGAAAAGTCTGTGTTACATTTTGCACGCTCCCCTAAGCCTGGCAATAGTTTGACCAAGCTGACCACAAGCATGACAGCAGATCATTTTATTTTGTATAGCGTATCATAGTAAACAAACGACAAGTCATGACATCCAGACACAAAGTCTAGCATGTCGAAATGTTTCTACTTCTACGGTGTGCTGGGGAGACGCTGACCAATAGGAGCCCAGATTACTCTTTTGTTCACAACAAATGTGAGAAAAACATTATTATTATTATTATTATTATTATTATTATTATTATTATTATTATTATTAACACTTGGCATATGAGACTGAATCAAATTAGTAAATTTCTTAACAACCAAGGTTACCATGACACAGTTAACTTTAGCATTCTGACTAACATTCAGCCATGTGACGTATCTTACATCGGCTGGCTAGCTACTTTTCATTTTAAAAAACAACCATACTGCCCCTGAGTGGTAGAAAGTAACTAAGTACATTTACTCATGTGCTGTACTTCAGTACAGTTTTGAAGTATCTGTACTTTGAGTATTTTCATTTTGTGCTACTTCATACTTCTGCTTCATTACATTTTAGCAACAAAAATTGTGCTTTTTACTCCACTACATTTAGTTTATAACTTTAGTCACTACTTACTTTTCAGAATCAGATTAATAGAGAAAATATAGCATCATCATAAGACTTTATCTCCAGTGGAAAATTCGCAAGTTACCCAGTGGTACTTCACATTATATCCATATAAGCTAGTTAAATTAGCTCCACTTTTACCAGCTGCAACATTAAATGTGATGAACACAATAATGCATCAGTAATTATATTTCAAATATATGATACATTAATGCAAAGTGTGCCATTCTGCCTAAGTTGAATACTTTCACTTTTAGTACTTCAAGTATTTTTTGATGCTAAAACTTTTGTTCTTTTACTTAAGTAACATTTTGAATGCAGGACCTTCACTTGTAGCAGAGTATTTCTACACTGGGGTATTGCTACTTTTACTTAAGTAAACAATCTGAGTACTTCTTGCACCACTGCTGCCCCCTTTGTGCCAGTATCACGCACACTGGTTCAGATGCCATTTTGGGTTTGCATTCTTGTTCCTGGTCCCTGGCACCACCTTCCAAGAGCCTCACACAAGCAGTGACCATCATATCAGGTGCAAATACTGTGTAGTTTGGACCCAGCCTTACTGGTGCTCATGAATAGAGAGTACCTATCATTAATGTTGATATTAACACCTGTGCTTTTGCTACTAGGACAAGTCAAAATATCTATGTGGAGATTTGTGTAATATATAAATGTTTATACTATAAGGGTGTCATGTTCTTGGAATGATTATACATTAATAATAAATAATGATGGCCACTACACCCTATGTAATGGAAACTCTGCACATTGTTAAACAAGACTGATATTGTGATTAAAAACATCTGTTGTATACTATTTCATGATCTTAAAAGCAGAGTTAATGATAGCCTCTGCATTTTATTTATTGTTTTTATTAGGGAATGCACATGTTAAAAACCACTGGCCAAACATCTATTTTACATCTGTGTCCTTTGACAGATGTACAAAGTCAGCTGGAATATTAAGCAGCTGTTATGTTTTGATATCATAATAGCAAAACTGAACCCATCACTTAATATCATATAGGTGTATTGAGTGGGAACATGCATAAATGAGTGCCATATACACATAATATCCATTGGCTGACTTGCTTGCCCACTTTTTGCTTACATTGTTGTAATGTGTTCACTGGTCAGTGAACTACAGGCAGTAGTTGAACTCCATTTTGCAGTATCTTTCTTGTAGTTTGACTACTTTCATATTTGCATAGTGATTCAAGTAATTCAATGACTCTTTAGCCATTTTTGTGTAGTTACTGAAACTACCAACGAGTTTGGACCACGAAAGCAAAGGAATTTTTTTTTAATTTTTATATTACCATGCTGCGTGTGAGCTGCAACGACACTGTCAGTGCCAAACAGTTGGATAAGAACTGCTCATGTGTCATACAAAGGGGAATTCATGCTTTGCACATACCCTTGTGGACATGTACGAGGGGCGCACACGCGTTCCTATTCATACTCCAAATCGAGGGTCCGCCTTCTGTCCAGGTATGCTGACGGTTTCCAAGCATTGTGGCACATGCGGAGTTGGCTTTTGCTGTGCAAACAATCCACTCGGACACAAACGTTTGGCCTGCATGTCGGCATCTGCGCAAGGTCTGCATGGACCTTCTCAGACCTGGGAGGATGACAAAAATGACATCATTCGACCTTAGCAGACATACAAGGCATGAATTGCCTTTAAGGAAGAGATTCTGCTCTGACAAGTAAAAATATGGGTCCAGTAATTAGAGCAGTGTTCAAACTGCTCATGCGGTCTAAAACGGTGCAAGTTGAAGGCTGTTTAGTTGTTACGACTCTACACGTCCGATAGTACAAATCTAACAAGTAAGACAACAGGCTGATTTTTGGTTTTAGACCAGTGCTCAAGTCAGTCAATCAGTCTTAAAAGGTGTAAGTTAAATCTTTTTTCTTTACAGTATTAGTTGTAGCCAGATAATACAAAATCCACATTTGTAAAAAAAAAAAAAACTAACATTCGTTACAGTTTTGTCCTTGTGAAAATCCCATATGAGTGTTTTGGTTAGGTCTCAGGTAACATTTGTTATAATGTTGTATCACATGTACATTGTCAATTTGATATTTTCTTTGAGAAAGTAGTTTGAACCCCTTTTACTAAGCAGCATCAGTTATCCAAACTAGATCTCTCCATAGGGCAGTTTCTTCCAGTGTAGCTTCAAAACAGCTTCCCCAACAGTCTGATTAGTATTTTAGACTTGGTGTGTTATTCCCCTGCACTAGTTCAGTTGTTATCATCCATAACCAAAAAGGAGAAATTCCTCCTCATTGATTTTGCACCAATATGTATTGGATTGGATTGTAATGGGGGATGAATTCTGGATGGAGTTAAGGATATGTTTTTTTTTGTTTTTGTTTTTTTGGTCATTCAAATGTCTTTGTAGATGTGAAAGTGCAGGCAGACGTTGTGTGAGTCCATGAAATCTGTCTTCCAGGCCACTAATGGAGCTGCTTCAGGCTATGCATCAATATGACATCACAGATTACAAGCTTTAGACTTGGGAGCACTTTAGGTACTTTCAGAGCTGGAAGAGCAGAGCAAGAACTGGCCGACAAAACACTGAGTCATTATAATAACAATTGGAGAGGTAGGTGGAGTCGCACAGTGATACAGCTGGACGGACATTACACAAGTATCCCCATGAGGCCTTGTAGTGTGTCTCTGGGCCTTCATG